ATGTTTTTTTTTTTTTTTAAGAATCCAGGCATCCCATCCCAGGTTCATCTTTTTTTTTGGGCGGGGCGGGGGGTTGTTTTTTTTCTCCACGCGGTTGGCTAAAGGGGGGGGGGGGTCTGAAAGTGGCCGGCACCAAAGGAGTTTCAAGCGAAACGCTCCCGTGTGAGGTTTCGCTATAATGACAGAATTTGAAAAGAAAGAAAAGTCAAAGCGAGGGTTGGGGAAGTGGATTTCCGTGGGTTGGCGCCCCCTCGAATCCGATGCGATCAAATACTTGGCTGCAACAAACTTGAGCGCCGGCGCAAACGAGACCAAAAAAAAGTTGGTGTGGCGCCGCGGATCGATGACCAAAGCGTTTGGAAGGCGCCTGAAAAAGTGTTTTCTTCTTCTTCTTCCAGATACAAGGAGCGCTGAGCAATTTGAGAAGAATGGAATTCTGACCGCGACCGTCGACTCTTTCCTCATGCGCTTTTCGACATGACCGCGCAACTGCCTGACCTCAACTTTTCCGTGCCGACTTGCACTCGGCCACTCAATGCAAACAATAAACCTCATGACTTGATTCACTGAGACCACACTACCTTTAGCCAAACAAAATTGTTCTATGCAGTACCAAATGTTGCAGTTTTGTTGGGCCTTTTGTTTGTTTTTTTTTTTTGAGTATTCACCTCTTTCTAAGAGGATGAGCTTTGTGATGAATGGTACCATTGTGTATGATTTAAATTGGACTTTTATATTTAATGGTTTATGAAAGAGCTCAAATCTTTTTTTCTGACTTTTTATGTGCAGGTCCGATTTCAAAATGCAGTGATCCGTCAATGTATTGACTAACGTGAGTGAAATGATGGAATAAAAGAAATTGGTATCCATGCTAGTCTGGCGCCACAAAGTTGATTCGCATTGTTGTTAGATTTGAGGTAAGGTGCAACCCTCACGTACGAGTTCAACACATTCAAGTTGGCCGGAAACGCGTTTGTTGCGGTGTCAAGAAAGCTGGAATGTGACGTCAATTCCCCTGGCGACCAAGATCATCCGCTTGCAGCCACAAATGGCCTTTTGCAATATAGACAAACTTCATTTCGACTCGAGAATATTAGCATCAAACCAAGGTTGAGACATTTTGCCTGAGCTTCCCCCCCCCAATGTCCGATCTGAACAATGAATAGATCGAAATAACACTTGCGCAGTTCCAATCCAGGTATTGGACGCGTGACGAGAGTTCAAACAATAGGCTGTTTGATGGCAAGGATTTGCAAACTTTTCCCACTGGCTCTTGAGGCTCATTCCGGAATTGGCGGAGATTTTGGCTTCAAAATTCTTGGGAAAAAAAACAACTTCAGGTTCCAGATTTTCGGCTACATGTTCATCGACGCCCCTTTGCTCGATCCATTCTTTTGGAAAAGTGTCAATTCCAGCGTACGGTGATTCACTGCTTTCCTCTCCTGCCATGCTGAGAAGGTGAGTAGCACATGTATGCGCACAGACTGTGGGAGACACCTTCCACGAAGAAGCTTTCTTCTGTAACAACAGATGTTCCCGCGGCTACAAGAGACAGCAATGCAACAATATTAAAAAACGCCACTTCAATTTCATTTGAACATATTTATTTGAGATCCAATTTGGTCAGAGAAAAATGGCATTTTTGGGGCTACTCCAGACTGATTTTCAAAACTATTTTCAAGCATGCTTTTCTGATTTGGTCCGAGGACACGTAAATGTGCTCAGAAACTGCATGTTTTAGTATTTTGTATGTGGATTGTTTCCAATTTGATGGGTGGGGCCTAAAATGTCATCCATTTCTGGAATGACCCTTGGGATGTTTCGATCAATTATCATTCGTGTGGAACTTGCTTTTGAACATTGTAAGGACAGTAAGTGTAGGGACAGTATAAGGCAGTCAAACATTTCTTACTTACAAAGAACATTTGTCGTTAACGTCTGAGGCAGACATCTTGAAAAAATGGACCTTATATACCTTGATGTGTGTGACGTGTATCAGCAGCAGGTGCCCAGACATTCGTCTTTTGGGAGACCAATGTGAGGTGCTTGAATCAAGGCAACTGGACTGCGCTTGTTTGGAACGGTTTCACCTTGAATCTAAAAGCCTTTTTGGGTTCTCAATAAAATACGGAAATAAAAAGACCTTTGGATTACAACTGACAAACAAGATCATTCTAAAGCTGAGCCCGTATTTTATTTTACTTATGGAAAGGAGTCGAATCGGTACTTGGACTTCTACTTTTATTACGCAAGTAGCTTAAGTACAGCGTGTGAGTCCTTGCCACTTTCCGGTCGTCGTCGACGGCTTTGACGTCACGCGGCGGTACGAAAAAGGGGGAATGGACGACGCAGCTCAACGCACAAAGTTGAAGTCTCGACTTTTGGTTGGAGCTGAACTTCCGTGGAGCCTTTATCGGCGGGCGATGTTATCTGATCAAGTTTCGACCGTGAGTACGAAACGCAGGCTAGCTGATAGAGTTGAGTTTTATTGTCATTTCTTCTCCGCCGGTGGGATCACGTGAGTCGCGCGCTGCGTTCAAATCCCCCCCGAAATCAAGAGCTTGCAGCTGGCAACGCGTCACAAAGTTGAGAGAAATCACGATTGCGGTCTGCGTGGAAATGTGTTTCCAGGAAAGGGACGGGGGTAATACTGTGTTAGTTGGAATTGCAGCGGTGGCAACAGTTGTCGCACTGTGTGTTAAAAAAATACAAGTACCGGTTCACCTCTTTTAAGTAAAAAGTACAGGCTCAGAAATGTACTGTAGTATAAAAGTCAAAATTTTCTGGCAATTATATACAACACCTGTTTTGGTAACCTAAAGAATTATCTGCACAAAAATAGTTTTCCTGTTTTTAATTAACAATCAAGATTTTTTTTCAAGAGTTTTTCGATATATGAAAGAAAGTACAGGTATGTTTTAAAATGTAGGTACTGGTAAAAAGTCAATCAGCAAAAATAAATAACGAGAAAACCTCGCTTCAGTATAGGAACAAAAATATAATGTGATGAATTACTTTGACAAGCAAGCACTCAGTTTTCGGAGAATCCAACAATTGCTGCTTGTTGTAATCGATTGTTCACAAAAAAAAAAAAAAAGTTTGCGGAATTGGGGTTTGAAGAGAAATTAAAAGATGAATCTCAAATGCACCTTTACCTTCACAGGTGAACTTATTTTACGTTTCCCTCTACCCTTGAACGTCCAGCTGTTCAATGTTTCAATTCTTTTTGCACAACTTGCTATTTACGAGTACGGAGCCGAACGGCGAAAATCAAAACAAGAGTCACAGAAGGGCGTCCTTGAAAGTGCATTGCTGCATTCATTGATTAAAGTTTAACCTCAAGACCGGGGGGTTTGGGGCGGATCTGGCCCGTGAAAGAATACAGTATTATGGGCATTGACTTCATGTTTCTTGCTAAAGTACCCAAATTGCAAATTGTCTTCACTTTAAACAATGTTGAGATCTTAAACACGTTTTTGTTCCCGGTGCTGCTTTCAAAATAAATCGTTGGCGACGTGCGGAACCCTAATAAGTCACAATTTATTAAGTTTTATATATTGCTCAGTTCACACGTTTGGGTCTTATTTGTACGAATTATTCGCAGTCGGGTTTGTCGAGTATTTGATCACATTTGACTTGAACTTAATTCCACTTGAAAGAATGCAGCGTTCAGTGGACAGTCTGACACGGAGACGACCGAATTGTGACGCGGATCGATGTCGTGATATCATCTTTAATCGCCGTCGCCATCAATTGGCGTCATCGAGGTAGCGGAGTCTCATTTCTCCACACATTTGTCCCCCCCTTCCCCTCGCTCCCCCGTTGCCATCTTCGCTGGGTCTGTGCTATGAGACGCAACCATGTAAGCGGAGGGAGCGAGAATCGAAGACCGAGGAGGAGTGCAAATAAAGAAATCGTACCGGTCTCCCGGATTCCCAGTTTAAGGGAACGCAACACGAGCGCAGCCCACTCGGCGCGCCTGGATTGTCGCGCATGCGTACTGAACATTTCGGGGATGGGTCTCGCGAGCGAATCAAGATGGCGACTCTGGCAAAAGCGCAACCACAGCTAGCGAAGTAGATGCGCCAAATCGGCCCCTTGAGCGGCTTTGCTCGCGCCCCAGCGAGCCTTTGCTGAACCATGACGATCGGGCGCGTGCTTTGGAAACGCGATTGAGCGGGATTTGAAGGAGCGCGGACGACGATGTGCGAGAGCTATGGCCGCTCGCTGCTGCGTGTGTCGGTGGCGCAGATCTGCCAGGCTCTGGGCTGGGACGCCGTTCAGCTAACCGCCTGCGACCTGCTGGCAGATGTGCTGCAGCGATACATCCAGCAGATGGGCCGAGTCTGCCATCGGTACTCGGAGCTGTGTAAGTGCATCTCGGGTTGACCCCCGTTACCACTTCTCATACAGCGGGTTTTTTTTTTCTTTCTCTCTTTTTTTCCCCACCTCACTCGCTTGCTTCAGTACGCGATAACGTCGTTGTTCTCAGACTAGCGCCCCCCGGGGACAGTTGTCGAAAACTGCAGGAGTGTCCACTGGTGGTTCCGCATCTTTTGGGGCTTTTGTACGCCGTCACTCCTGCGCGTTAACGAGATTCCAAACGTAGAGGATGACACACAACTGATTGTAACATGCAAATCATTTCATTTTGTCTCCGAAATGTAAACTTTTCCATCCTTGACTTGAAACTGACTACAAATACTTTGTTACTGTTCCCAAGTACAGGCAGGCCATTTTTCGGAGATCTCTCTTTCATGTTTAGTTTTTCCGATTGCATTTTATTCTTGCGCCTTATGTTGAAAAGTGATGATTTGGAGGTAGAAAAATTCCACCCGGCGACAGCGACACGATCGTTCAAGCCCGCGTCCTGCCTGTGTCGTAACGCTTCTTTTTGCATTGCCGCGGCAGACGGGAGGACAGATCCTGTCCTGGACGATGTGAGTCAGGCTTTCCGGCTGCTGGGGGTGAGTCTGAGTGAACTGGACGACTATGTCAACAACCTGGAGCCCGTGGCCTTCCCCCAACAGTTGCCCACCTTCCCCGTCGGCAAGAACAACGTGCTGCAGTTCCCTCAGCCCGGCGCGCTGCTCGCCGAAGAGCGCAAGGAGGAAATTCCCGATTACATGCCACCTCTGGTCTCCTTGCAAGGTGAGTTCTGTTGTTCGCCGTCATTCCAGAGGGGCCCGGTTTTTGGTCCGCGTTCCCCCCGCCCTGAAACGCCTGTCCCCTTTCTTGTCCAGAAGAGGAGGAGGAGGAGGAGGAAGAGGAGGGCCTTCCCGCCATGGGCACCTCGGCCGAAGCCATGCAGGTGGCCGTAGAGGAGGACGAGGAGGACTTTGACGAGGACGAGACGGTGAACCA